AAAACGATCAGACGAACTAAGACCACAAGAACACATCTGCTTGCACGGGCAAAAAATAGGAGAACTTACATGCGTGGCGCAATGGGGAAGTACGATCAGCCGAATGCGCGGAATGGACTATTTTCTACTCGTTTTGTTAGAAAGATATATTCTAGAAGCATACTTAACTTTCACCCGAACGGGAAAGGCTAGCCAGGGCCATAGGGTTCCCAGAAGGCTCGCAATTTTTCACAACAATTACACAGTAGGGAGGTTTGTAATCTTTAAACTTTACGAAAAGAGAGACGATTGTTGGAAAGAAGAAATCCTTTAAACTCTAGCGCTGTCGTTTTCTCTTAGAAGATCACTAATGGAAAAAAGTTATGGCTAATTGCAGGCATATTTTCAGAACTACATTCCACTTGTATTTGTTAAAACAATAACTCTGGTGGTCATATGGGGTTTATGGCATGGATTGGTGCTGCTTCCTGCTTTTCTTTCTCAGGTATCTTTCGAATGAATTTACTTCATGTTTACCGTGCTCAAAAAATTTTGCATTTTCGATCAATATTCTGCAACTTCGAAAGCGTTCATACTCGCGTTCTGATCGCTCAATCCAAGTGGTCTAATCGCGACGTATGAACCTTTTCCTAGCCCGTTCATTATGTGAGGGTTTCGACACATGGAGTCAAACATTCTTGATTCAGATTCCATTGCGTCTTTTGAACTTCAACTGTTATCGGGTCCTAGTGAATGCTCGGAATGAAGTTGCCGGCCAGGAGATGTTACTTCTCGATGGCGACGCTATTCGTACATGATTTACTAATATTCTATAGCTTTCACTGTGTTGCATTTTACTTCACCTCTGTCCTCAGTACTGCCAGGTTCAACTTCACAAAACGTGGTAATTCCCATTGCCGCATCGCGCTCTCGCCCTATAGTGACGCGATTACCTTCGTAGTTATCACCTTTACCCAACATATCTTTGTGTTCGTTGTTGCCGGTACACACACTACCTGCAAAAGAACCCCCTTCGCTATCTAGTGCAGCTTTGGCGGGGTACTACTGGTAGGAAAATGTCGAATGTTTGTGACTAATGTGAAGAGACGATCTAAACATTGTAATTCTAACCCCTTCAAGTCGAAGATGGCCTTCAAACTCAGGGATTTCATAGGCATGCCCTATAAATTTCAGAATGGAGTAGGCTCTTCAATTTGTTAGTGATTCTTGCCCACAGTAATTTGTACATTTGTCTGACTTTCGACAATCTTCAGAATTGCTCATGCTAGACTTATGTTCCATCTAATATTACCAGTTGAGGACTCACGGGTCTGTTGTTGCGGATTTGATGGATTGAAGGTAATGAAAGCCGCTTATCACTTCATTACCGTCAGTCTGCATTGCCGAACTTTGCATAGGTAGTACTGCACAGCAGTACGGGTATTGTACATTCACAAATTGCATTATGTATGTATGTATGTAAGTAACTTTTATTAGACACTCTAATCCGCTTCTAAAAATCATTTTTGATCTTGAAAAAAGGTCTTATGTGGTCCAGCAGAATTCCTACAACGCAGCATTCCAGTGGAGTGATCAGCTTTAGCGCCTGTTACGATCTTGTCAACGATCTGTGCCATATGGCACGACTTATGTGCACAGAAATAAAATGTTTGAAACGTTCTCGACTCGAAGACGCCAGCAACATATTTCCGGAAAAAAAGGAAAAATAAGCATTGTCCAGATTAAATCCCGCAAGGCGACCAGGACCAAATACTCCTGGCGGATAAATCTGCAACCGCAGCGCTGCAATAGCGTTTCTCCCCGACGCTCTATCATCACTCTAAAACAAATTATGAAGCAATGGAAACGGTAATGAAGCGCCTGACCTGCAGCATAACATGGTACACACATCAGCCGTATCCTCGGTAGCGGATTGTAGACGCTACGGAAACTCGCTAACTATTACAACTCACAGAAGAACGGAGGATCTTACCGCAATTTTGACCTTTACTCGCTTCTTCAACCAGTTCCCACTATAACAGCGCCTCCTCGCAATTTTAGGCTAAGTAGGAATCATTCGTGCCAACGCTATTGAAACCACTCCTGATGATCCCCGACACTCATCCGAGAAACTTACAACCTGGAATAACAGAATAACATTGAAGACTAGCCCATTAGCGTGTACATTTTGTCCTGTCTTATATTAACAGATCAATCTTCGCCGATGACCAAGCCATGTAAGGATTGAAGCATTCTACTTCCATTGAGAATCGAGGCTTTTTTCTAGCACTGCCCTAACGCAATGAAAGAGAATCGTTTTTGCCGAACGCGGCGCGGCGATCGCAACACGATCTCTGCCCGTCTCCTCGCAGATCATTGCGTAGGCAGATCATTGTCATTTCCTTAAATCGTGTTAACCTGTCGATTGGAGCACCGGACTTCATGTAGACCCCGTCATCGTAGACATTCATGACTATTTTCGGTTCTGAATTGCCTGTTGTCGCCATCTACTACCTGGAACCATCGTCATTTGCGGGCGCGACGTCGCACGCGACGCCCACCAGCGCGGTGAATTACGATTCTCTTGTCACATACCCGATTTGTGGAGGCCAGCCGATGTACGCATCAGGGTTATTAGCCTCCCAGACAAATCTGATACCCATTTACCGTCCCCCAGATGGAGAAGGTTGGGCGGGAATCGATCCGGGATTTGAAACCAGGGCCGCGCGAGCGGTCAGCGTGCCACTTGCCACGTTTCACTACTACTTTCACTTACTACTACAAAATTCCAAGAAAGTGGTTCCGCTGAAACTTTGCCCGCTGAAGTTTTTCAATGCCTGATCACAAATATGATATTCATTTTTAGCGCTGGCGCCATACGGTACTACCTATCTCACCTAAATCGGTGAGAAGTTGCATAGGGAGGTTATTTGACTTTTAATCACGAACTATTAATGCTGACTCCATTTTGTGTTAATAAGCGAGCGATAGCGCGAAACTGAAGCCATTTGGTTGACATTGCTCCAGCTACATAAACCTATCTCACATTCGTGATTAAGATGTCTCATAACCCTCGTGGACAAATTTTCATCGATTTTGGTGGGAGGAGTGGCGGCGCCTGATTGGCGCCAGCGCCAAAAATGCATGTCATATCCGTGATCAGGACACGGTATAACGGGCAACGTTTGAGCAAAAAAATGTTGAGTTTCTATCATAATCTCTTGCCGAGCGACAAACGATCGCTTTTTTGGCTTTTCGGATGTGTCACCTACCTTTTACTTGTAAGGAAAAGTTGTCCATATTCGTAACGTACTCAGGTTGTATCTATTCGAAGGCACATAGGAGGTCGAAAAAATAGAGATGAGGAAAAGCAAAATATTGACTTCATACGGAAGCGGTCCATAAATTCCCTGGCTGTGAGTTCACCTAGATATCCATCAAACCATCCGAGAGTATAGAAGGAACTTCCATACCGTTTCCACTGAATGCCCTAAGCTTTTGCCTACTGCTTTGATATCCACTATTTTTGAACCATTTTTGAGGTAGCGCTCTATCACTTGGAGGAGCCGCTCGTTATGGATTAGGGGCACTAATCCACATCCGAGAGATGCAGAGGTCGTGACAGCTGCGATCCTGTTCGTGCAGGGACAAGAACATGAAATCGCAATTCTGTACTTGTCTAGCACAAGGCAAAACGTCAGCTGCCTCAGGTGGTATTTCTCATAAAAAAAAGAGTACCAAGCCATGTTCATATGAAGCACGCAACCATGGCCTCCTCTTCTCCGGCATACGGAGTGTAATTGGCGCGGGTGAAAAGAAAAAACAAATCAACGAATGGAAAACTCTTTCTGCGTGGAGTACGACCACCCTCCCATAAAGTACGACTAGTACGTCAAGTACGACTCTAAGTTGTGGCTAGGATACCGCGTGATACAATACGATTGTAATTTTCACAACAGTGACCTTTTTCAATAGATGTCTTGTTCTCAAAAGCTAGCAAACTTCTCACATTTCTTCCCATCGGACTTCGTATGAACCCTACATGAATTTGTTCTCATAATGGTCTCATCCAGCATTTCAAACGAGCGGGGACAGCCTAAAGGTGACCAATGGGTACGTATGTATTGGTAGTAGCAGCCTTCGTTCCACACAATGACCTTACCATAATGTTGCTATTGCTCAAGAAGAGCCCCCCCCCCATTGAGCAGGTACTCCGGTCCTGCTTCAAGCATGTATACCAAGGCAAGGAGCGCACTATTCAGATGAATTGATTATTCAAAAGCATCAAGCAAATAGGTGTTACGGACAGAATTCAGACCTTGAACGGACCAAACCCGCATCTCTCGCTTAGCAGTAAGCAGGATGCGGGCCCGAGTTCCGTTCCAGGTCTGATTTTTGCCCATAACTCAGCACTTTCGAGATTTTCGGAGTGCGCACGGCGGCGTCAAACAGCAGTTATGAAATTAAAATAACTCTAAAGCACTATGTGAAACATACTATGTTAAACTTCAGATGCACAGGAGATTAAAAAAATTATATGAATTCATGAAACGAAGACTGCGCATCTTCGACATTCCTGTTCTCAGCTCCATTTTACAGAAATGCGACAGAAAATGAACTTTATTGGAAATAAACGAGTTGTAACAGACAAAGACCGTATGAAGACGTGATAGCAAACTATGAAGCTACATAATGGGGAAAATATGAAACTACAACTTATTGAAAGATTAACAGAAAGAGAGCAGCACACCTTTACAGCTTGAATTTCACAGAAAGAGGTGGGAGCAAAAGAGTTTGCTAACAGGTCAGTAATCGTACCAGATTAATGCTCACAGGCCAGCAAAGTGTCTAAATGAAGTATGAAGTGATCGGTCATGCAGTTTTTTGAAGCAGTGAAGCATAATACAAAGAGGAAGAGTCGCTCAATTACAAGAAGAAAGAGAACGAAGAGATCTCTGACAATCTGTCGAAAATGTAGTGAGAAATTTGGTAGAAAGGCAAAGCAAAACAGCAAAGGATGAACATAAGGTTCTTTATAGAATGATTACTAATACTCTTATTCAATGACATTCAACTCCGACGCCCTAACAGAAGCAGCTGCTTGCTCTCTTCTCGTCTGTGCAGCACAACGTTTAGCGTACTCCTTACGTACTGTCAAAGCACATATGTCTGCTTTTAGCATTTGAATTCTTTCTCTAATTAAATGGGCCCTCTCGAACAATTCGACGAGTGGCGCCTAAACAAGAGTTCATGATGTTCCAGTACGACAAAAGGAAAAAAAGAGCAACGCTGTAAACACACTCAACAACGTGACCGAAATTTGGAATTACCAATTAAAGTCTAACGCTACAATACTATAAGAAATGAGATCATCCGAAGAGAAACCCATCGGAAGGTATATATTTTTTCGAGACGAGTTTTCGTACTCCATCAAAGGATTAACATGGGCTTACACACCGATGAAGCTTTTTCACTCACCTTTTGCCATTCATATCTTTCGGGAAATGGCTCGGCAAACCGTAAGAGGAAGACTCGATCAGTAAGATGGAAAACTACGGAACTAATAGCCAACATACACGTTTTTTTCTAGTTTCGAAAGAAAAAGTGTCCGTAACAGTTCCCCATTTACTCTCCTGAATACTCTCTTCAAAAACGAAGCCTGATGGTGGAAACCACAGACACCACCTAGTGAGCTGAAATACCTTGCCTTTCGCCCTTCGCATCTACTCTTGATTTATCTCGCGATATGCAAGCCTTTTTTCTTTGCTCATATTGTTGGGTACAATTAGGTTGGCGGGAAAGTTCTGTCACATTTTTT